CAAAATGGCCAAATGGTGGCCATTTTTGTGCTAAAAAATCATCAAATATCAAGCATTTCTGGCATTTATGGATGGATTTTGTTCAAACTTGGTACATATATTAGACATTACAGGTTCCTGATGCACATCATTTATTTTTTCAGATCGGATTCAAAATGGCTAACTGGTGGCCATTTTGTTTTAATGATTGGGCTTCTAGAGCCATATCTCTTAAATGCTTTGACTGATTATATTAAAATTTTATATATTCGTTATACATCATGTTATATATATACATGTATTCAAAATGGCTGATTTTGAATGCTGTTCCAGAGCAATATCTCTCAATATGGACAAGTACTTGTTTGACGATCAGATACAAATGTCAATCATTTTAGTGTTAAAAAATCATATTCCTGACATGGTTATATTCCAGCTATATTACTATAAACAAAATTATATGTATCTTAAATTTGATAACTAACGGGGACTGTGCCATGCATGGCTTGTCCTAATTGTTATGCATACGTGAACACAATACCCAGAAATGTTAATATTTGTTTTTTTGAGCCTAAGACTGAAATTAAAATACAATTCTAGTGACCGTCAATATATCATTTAGTAAACTCATTTATATAAAGTTAAACATCGTTGGCTGCATTTATTGTTTATCACTATTGATCACAAAATAAATCTGTAAACAAAAACCCATGTTCATTCCTACTCTTAAATAAACAGGATCAAGTTTGTGAAATGATTTACTATATATGTATATATTGGTGAAGTATTGTCTGAAAAATACACAGAAAATCAAGGAAACCAGAGAGCTTAAATTTATGATTGATTATTATTAATACATCATTTTGAGCTACCCCAACTACAGTACACTAGTTTTTGACATGCATGGTGATCAGGTGGCATCAACACCTTTATGAAAGTATGTATTCTGTTGGATGAAAGAAAATAGTTCCATTTTGATGAAGCACAGTGTTCATGCAATTTCACATTAGTATATTAGTTTTTTGTTGATTACACATTTGTGTTTGATATGGTCCATGTTATTTTACTGATAGGATGGACATACTGCACTGAGTATTGCAGCCAAAGAAGGCCACACTGATATTGTATGTGTATTACTAGATTCCGGAGCATATGTTAACTTACAAGATAGGGTAAGTTTATTTACTTCATGAGACCAATGCCCGATTTGCATGATTGCTACATTAATCTTTTACTGCAGGTACTATATTTCTGTGACATCCACATATGAGATGTGTTTATCAAGGATTTATAAAATATGTGAGGGTGTGTTATGCGATGTAGATCACATGCAAGTTGAAGAATTATTATGATAACAGTATCTCAAGAGATACCTACATTTCATGAAATCCCAATGCAAATTAGTGAGTCTGTGAAAGACCTTGTTTGTGTTCATCTTAGACCCCTGTATGTGCAATTAATGTTCTTGAATGTGGCATTAATTTTGCTCATTTCTGTTTATGCAGTCAACCATTTCTACGCATCCATTGCTTTCTGTGATGCTCTTGGATGTGATGCTAACTGCGTTCAATTGAAGCACACGAAAGGGGATAGCAATCCAGTCTGTTTTATTTAACTTGTATATTATCTGTAACCTGATCTTTGTGTTAATAAGGTACATTTACTTCTATTTCTATTACTTTGTGTCTTGTTTTTCTCATCACCTGATTATATCCTTCTCTTGTTTTTCTTCAGAACTCTGATTCCATTCTGATCAGTGCAGTAAAAGGCGAACATGTTGAAGTTGTCAAGTTACTTATTGAAAAATTTGTTGACGTAGATGTTGTAGGAGCTGTAAGATAATTTCAATTTTGTTACCATATAATATGACGAGAATGAAAATTTAATCAAATAACTCAAGCATTCAAGCAAAATGTTTAGTAGTCACAGTTTTCCAAATGTTATTAAAAATATGCATTCAGTTCATAAACATTGCTGCATATTTTATAATTCAACTCTAATACTCAGTATAATTATGAATGTTTTGAAAAGGTTTTGAAATATGTAGTGTAAATGTTAAGTTTTCTGTTTATACACAACTATAGTAATGATTAATGCAAACAAGTTTAGATACCCACTCTTTCTAACTGCCATCATCAAAAATAGCAGAGCTGAACTGATCACATTGGTGATTGTCCCATGTGTGTCAACTTTTGATTGAATTAATGACTTCTTCTTGAAAAGTACAATTACTCAACTGTTGTGATACTTTGGTAGGTATGTATCATGGATGAGCCGCTCAAATTTGTTAATTTTTTTTTATATTAGATATCTTCAATTCTCGATTTTTAGCCAATATTTTTGTCAATTTTTGGGGTAAAAAATTTAATTTTTGACTTTTTAAAAACTACCTAATCAATTGCTATACTTGATACTTGGTATGTACCAATATCTACCTTTGGTGGACTATCAATTTTAGTAAATTTGTCATTTATTTATTTGTTGCGGTTTTAGGTTTTCACTAAAGTTCATTACATTAATTCTTAAAATTTATGATTCATTGTATTTACATTGTAATATTGCAGGATAGAAAGACAGCATTACATTGGGCTGTTGAGAAAGGAAATGTTGAAATTGTGGAAGCTTTATTGGAATGTGCACCTAACACTGAAACATATAGCAAGGTATGTACTGTGAATAGACCATTTACTTGGTTAAATGTGTGCACACTTGCAAATTATGTGCATAAGCTTCAATCAGTCAAAGTGCCTGTGAAAATTTCACCTGCAAATGTTTTTGGTTCATTTGTGAAAACAAATATTATTAATAAGTAATAAAGTCTAAAGTAAAGATTTGAGCAATTGCTGTATATTGAATCATTAAAATATAACCTATTTCAACAATTGTAAGTACCGGTACATGTGCTGCTTACACAGCAAATATAAAATACCACTTTTATAGGCACAGTGATATTGATTGGTGTTAAAATGCATGAACCTGAATTTCATTGATGTGTATCTGAATTTCATTGATGTGTATCTGAATTTCATTGATGTGTATCTGAATTTCATTGATGTGTATCTGAATTTCATTGATGTGTATCTGAATTTCATTGATGTGTATCTGAATTTCATTGATGTGTATCTGAATTTCATTGATGTGTATCTCTGACATGGAACCTTTTCTTTGTTTTGTCCAGAGTCATGAAACTCCATTGATTAAAGCCTCTCGAATTCGAAATACTAAAATTGTAAGATTGTTATTAGATAATGGTGCCAAGGTGTCTGCCACAGACAAGGTAGGTGTGTCTCCCATAAGAATACAATTTACATGAATGTGCAATTTATTCTAACTAAAGTTACATTAAAGAAAACCACACCCTGAATGTTAGAGTTGTGTCCATCACTGTTCTGCACATATAGGAAAGAAATGTCTTAACACCCCCCTTCAAACGGCCTCCACAGTTCAATTTTCCATCCCACAATTCTTTGCAAAATTCTATTTGCAGTTAACACATTTCTTTCCTGTACATTTGAGGAAAGGTCTGATTGGTTTATGTAATAAGAAAAATTGTTGTACCAATACTAATGATGTGTTCAAATGTGTAGCACCCACTACAAATCTGGACTCAAGTTGGAGTCAGAGGGTCAGTTTTGATCCCAAGTTGACATACATTTTTGTACACGTGAACAATCTGAGATTAGATGAATAAAGTGTGAAGGTGTAGTTAAATGTAAAGCACTGGGACGATTGAAGGAATCACAGGTTCAGCTCACTGAAATTGCAAAGCGATCTTGTCCTCTGTTTGTCAGCATGTGTGAACCTTTGCCAATATGAATTAGGACTTAGAACTTAAAACTGCTTTGTTTTCATCAAATTGGAATAGTGCTGATTGTGACTCGAACAATTTTCCTGAATACTGTATTACATTTAATCATTTGAATAAAATATAATCAATTATCATAACAGCATGGACAAGAACATTTTACCACATTTAGTTATACAGACTCTCTTAGTGAAATATGAAGTGAAATATATCATTTTATTTGTTTATTCCCTCAGAAAGGAGATACAGCATTACATATCGCAATTCGTGGAAGGCACAAAGCTATTGCAGAATTACTTCTAAGAAACCCCAAAGATGGTCGCCTTTTATACAGACCTAACAGAGCTGGAGAAACACCATATAATTTAGACTGCTCAAATCAGAAGAGTATACTAACACAGATATTTGGAGCAAGTAAGTTTAGTAGCATGGGACCATAATAACTTCACTAAGAGCTACACATTCCTGGTACTGTAAAATTGTTACTGTAAATGCATTTATTTTTGGTGGTTTTTGATTTTACTATTTTTGCTAAAAAGTAAAATTTGCTAAATTAAATTCACATTAGCAAAAATGCCCCTATTTCTTTTTTTAATTTAGACAAAGAAAAGTCAGGTTATTTGAGTTCCTGTTTGAACAAAGTTTGAAACAGGGACTTATAATTTGGTATTCATCCGTCTATCAATCCATCTGTCTGTTCATCCATTCGTCATATGTCAGAAACCTGTGGACCAAATCTGTTCATTCTTTGCATGTGCCTAGTACTTTATCAGGAACATGCAGTGGTTTACTGATTCAATCCAAAATGGCTGATTGGCAGCCATTTTTTTTTTTAAATAGTGGTATCTGATGCATGCTTTGTCAGTTTTTGTTCAAATTTGGTACACACATTGGATTTGTCGGTCTTTATTCAAATTTTATATAAACATTGTACATGTTGAGATACATGGCCATTATGATTCATTTGGTGTTTCCTATCACTGTATATAAGCCTGGACAAATTAAATTCAGTTTAGATTCAAAAAATACATGAATAGTATATCCTGTTTAATTTCTGATCATATATTATGATTTTTGGCATGAGCAACATTTTAATACCCTAATTCCAATGGGCACTATGTCATTAACAATGACTTGTTATATTTAAAACAACACTTTTTATTTGATCTTTGTAAAAAATTAAAATTCATGTATCTGCATTGTACAATAAATGAATTTCTTCAAAATAAAGACCTAGACAATTTGTGCAATGGTACTAAAAATGTACTGCCTGAACAAATTCTTTGCAAAATTATCACAGAGGCACAACAGTTATAAATGCATCTGTCAATGTTCTTGTTTTTATTTGCTTCTTTGTTTGTCCAAATCATATAGCAATGAACAATTAATTACATTACACACAGTACCTAGTTACATTATTTGTGGATTAAGCTAATATGAGTACCTGTTGAGAAGCAAATAGAGCAAATATGGTACTTACTTTTTGGTTGTTATTTCTTTTATATTCCCTTTGCTCATCAGATAGATACATGTATCTGTTGCCAGTAGCTCAGAATATTTTTGTTTTCATTTTTTTCCATCACAGAGAGTTTTACAATCCATGATAATGACCAGAGTATGTTGAGTGATCTTTACAGCAGCTCATTGGCCGACATCCTGAGTGAACCTACGATGGCTCCACCAATCACTGTAGGGCTGTTTGCTAGGTGGGGCAGTGGCAAGTCTTTCTTGTTGAAAAAACTTCAAGGTTTGTTTATCCCTGGTTCTACAACCTATGTAGTGTGAGTTACTTTTATGGAAGGATATATAGTTAAAATTGTTCAAGCCAATTTCAAAAGATTATTTGTTATTTTCATCATACTATACAATCATGATGCTGAAAATGAAAAAAATTGGTGTCATTGAAAAGTTGTAAATATTATTTATTGATATGAATCCTGGTGAAAACACTTCAAAAAGTGACATATTTTAATGATTTACCAGGGTTATAGTAGTTGTATAAATAGAAAGGTGCTGAGTTGTACACAATTTAAATTCATCTCAAACTGTGTTTAAAAAGCATTTGTGATGTGCATTTGTTTAAGTCTTTTTTAAAAAAAAAACACACATTAAACTTACAGTACAGATCCATGTTACTATGCGCATAGAACCGATATTAAATACACGCTTGTCCCACTGACTACTGCTCTTTAACACAATTTATACATCAATATTTACTGAAGTAAAATGTTATTTGTTTTCTAAATGTCTGGGACTGTATTATTGTTTAAAAGTTACCACTTTTAGTCAATTTAATAAATCTTCACAATTTCACTGTGTTTAATGTGTCTTATAGTAATGTAGTGCATGATACTCCATTAGAGGCATTCTATGAAAACTGAAAATTTATATTTTCCTAATCCATTGATTTTCTACTACAACAATGGACAGAATAGTGTGGTTGTTATTGTATTTGCTGGCTGCAGGAATGCTTTTCAAGCACATGTTCTTACATAGCTGTATGTACTGACTGGAGGAGTACTTGTCAAACACTGCCATTAAAATAAGACACATGGCTAAAATAACAAACCATAGAGACTGAATCAGTAACAGACTCAAAGCCTACTTGCAGTGGTCAAACTATTCTGTCTTAAGTTGTATATTATCTACACATGTTATTTATCAAATGCTGAAGGCTTATATCTAAGTTGTTGGTTCTTTCCATTTCAGATGAAATGAAATTATTTGCTGAACAAGACCTAATGCCAGTGTATTCATTTTCTGCACTGTCTGTGATATTAGTTTTCATCATTGGTATCACGCTAGGGTTGATACTAGGATTCACTGTCAACTATATTGTTGGGCTTATATTGGGTATTAGTGTCACAGTGCTTCTCATTATATTTCTTAGTAAGTATATCTCTATATTATGTACAATCATGGCAGTGTTTTTTCACTTCATCTGTTTTTACATTTAACTGAGGCTTTTATATCAGTTATAATTTTTCGGACTGCCAGACTCTTTCCACAACCTAAATTGTCTTATTAGTGTTACAATTATTCAAATTGTTGAATGGTAGATGTATTTCACCTAAATTGTGTGAAATCTTTGCTCAGTAACATTCTCTACCTTAAAAGTAGATGGTGGCCTATACTAATACTAGTATTTTTGTTTGAAGACCTCATTAAATAGGTCTAACCTAGACTGTCATATTAAGGACTTTAGATGGTTACTTTTTTTTTCTAGATATAAACGATCTCAATTATCTATTTTATCATGTCGACTTTCTTTTAGTCATTGTACATTTTGTATCAAAGATGAAAAGATGGGTCCCTCTGAGTATAGCTATGGCAAGACATCTTGGTTATTTACAGTTACTGCTCAAAGTGTGTTTTTGCAATCCTCCAAAACTGCCACCGCAGACTAGTCAAGCTCTGCCTATCAGGTGAGTTCTTCCATATTGCATAAAGTCTGCTAATCATGTGAGTTCTTTTATGACGTTGCTTGGAGTACTCTCTGCAAGTCACATTGCCATTACATCCTACATGTAGCTCTCTCATATTGCACTGTATGTTACTATAGTTTGCCAATCAGGTGAGTTCTCTCATTGCTTAAAGCACTGTCTGCCAATCATGTGAGTTCTCTCATATTATATAAATCCCTGTCTGCCAATCAGGTGAGTTCTCTCATTGCTTAAAGCACTGTCTGCCAATCATGTGAGTTCTCTCATATTCAACCACATTTTGATTTGTAGGTTTCTATTCACTGACTATAAGCGATTAACCAGAGTTGGAGGAGAGACATCATTGGCAAGGATGATTGGCACTTTGTGTGATGTAGCTGAGATGCAATTTGGTTTCCTAGTAACCAGGCTATACAGGGTCTTTAAGACAAAAGCTGATCACAGTGAGTAAATACAGATCTAGCTTATCTTTATTTGAGGTGAATATATTCTGGTTACAACTACAACCTGATTATAGGTGTTATCACATGCATAACTTGGGTATCACCACACAGGGCAGGACATTGCAGATTTGTTTTTTCCAATTGTATATGCTGCTGGAAAATTGTCTGAAGCTTACGGGCTTATAACTATGGATTGTGATTAATATTGGCAAGCCCTTGTGTGTATTTCCAGAATTAATATTCAATCCCTGCATAAAATCAGTTGAAATTGGAAAAAGACTCATGAACTAGCAGAATAACCACATCGTGTACACTAAAATAGTACAATGTGGCATCCACAAAATTAGCATATAATGCATGTGCACTAATATACTTATATTCAGTGTTATTCAAGCAATTTCATGATTACTGCCAGATTAGCATCAATCCTCAACACATAAAAAACTCTGGCAGTAATCACTTATGCCTGCTGCCATCTACCTAAGGGAATATAATAATTAATTTTGAGATTCTAGTAGTGATGTTTCTCTGATATTGTAAAATTTAAATCTGTGATTACAATTTCTTGTTTCTAGCTTTCCATGATGGATATTTTCGGCGTTTATGCTGCATACCGATATTTCTGATTGTACTGGTTGTGGTGAGTTGTATAATAATGGGTTTAGTGCTGCTCGCTGCCAACAATGGTGTGCCTGATAACAAAGTCATACAGGGAATCCTTATTTCATTACTCGTCATCATCTGCATCGCCACGCTGACCAACATCAAGACTCTGTCCAAAATCGTATACTCGCTCATTCAGTCCCAGAGGAAACGTGTCTTGAAAGCTGCAAAAAACTTGGACAGCCTCAAACAGGAAGGTTTCATGCGTATCTTGAAACAAGAAGTGGAGTTAATGGCTGAGATGGTGAAGTGTATTGATGCGTTTTCAAAGACTCAGACACGCTTGGTTGTAATTGTGGATGGGCTTGACAGCTGTGAACAGGAGAAGGTGCTGCAGGTGTTAGATACTGTTCACGTCCTCTTCTCTTGGCACCAAAGCCCTTTCATTACCGTCCTCGCTATCGATCCACACATCATCATCAAAGCAATTGAATTAAACTTTGATAAAGTCTTTAGGGATGCAGACATCAATGGACATGATTACTTGAAAAACGTTGTACAACTGCCATTTTACATGGAAGGTGGGTTTCAAAAAATGCACACGTACGAGTATAGTGAAGACTACACTGATGGTGATGAACCAAAACGTGTTGTTGGTAACCACATTGTTGACTTGCCTGTAAGTATTATTAGTGCATCCTCCTATTTGTGCTGACGCTACTGTCTGAAAGCCTATGTTGGGATCCAGGTCATTGATCTTTATTTATTGGTGGTGTACATGTATTCCTGGTTTGTGGGACTTGCTGTGTATGAAATCTCCACACGTTCACAATTTATACTGTAATAAATAGACTCTGTTCAACTTCTTTGTTGCTATACATCTGTGATTATGCCACAGGTGCCTGGCAAGGCCTCTGGCGAAGGACTGTGTGAACCTGGTCATGGTCATGACTGGTCATGACTTCCAATCATTTGGATTTGGGATTTGTTTGATTATTTACATACTACTAATAGTATGTGAAGAAATAGTGTGTGAGAAAATGTTCTTGACAGTGTACAGTTATTTCATACCAGTAATATAAACTTACTGTACTGTTTACGATTTTCAAGAGGTAATACAAACATAGTTTTGATGCATTTGTTTGTTTTATTGCAGTCAGCTGAAATTTCTCCACACAGGAAGACATCAAGACAATCCTCACACCAGTCATTAAATCATCGTCTTTCACCAGTGTCAGAGACTGCAAGGAAACTATTAAAAGAACGTACTTTCAGTCGACAACTCTCCACTATGTTTGACCTGACTAAATTACTTTCTAAGAGCGATCAGTTTGGTGGGTTAAATCCTAGGAGTATGAGGAGGTTGTTAAATATTGTTTCAATTACAGGTGAGTATGTGGAAACATACCTACATTACACATCATATTTGCATGTTTGATTGTTTCAAACTCTGATTTATAATATTTTTGTTCACTATATTGCAAAACAGGGAGTGTGTCATGTTTTTGAATTATAAAAGTACTAGTATATTGTCCTTTTTAGTACTCGGTTTCTACCATGTTGAAAATCTTTCTTGTTTTCTTGGTTTGGTGCACAGGTCGTCTTTTAAGAGCTCGTACAATAGAGTTTAACTGGCACAGATTAGCTGCTTGGATTAACATGACTGAACAGTGGCCATACAGGACGTCATGGATTATTTACTACTTTGAAATTCATGCCAAGTCACTGGAGGACCATGAAACTATAAAGAGTATCTTTGAAAAGTAAGTATACATGTACTTTTCATTACATTGAATCTATACGATTGTATTTCAGATTGATTTGTCAAATAGAAAGACCACAGTCGCGTTCACGTGCCCAAACTTGTGTGTGAACGGTCGGGACCGAGTCGGCACGTGCCAAAAAGAACTTGATCTCGGTCCCGATAGATGCTTGAAATTGATATAATTTCACTATATGTTTGGGCCAACAGATCGACGAATGAGGGCCTGATTTTGGCTCAAGCCGAGTCAGTCCAAAGTGGGTCCCGAATAACGTGAACGCAAATGCTGTAATCCATCTGCAAACCCAACGGATTAAAAATTTTGGCATGTGCTAAGATCCCGTAACGTGAACTTAGTACACATTAGTATTAGTATTAGCAGCCATTTAACAGACACTTTAAGTATATTCCACACCCAAGTAAACAAACATAACTCCTTACTCAAGGTAACAAGTGTGATTCCACACCCAAATGAACAGGCACAACATCCAAGTTCATAATAGTTATATAATAACATAACTTATGTAAATGTAGTGTTCATTTCTAAGCAGTCAAGGGCTCTCTGGATCCATTTCTATGTTGACCTACATTATTTATTGTAGTATTGCCATTGCTTCTACATTTATGTTATCAAGTATGTTAGATCTATTTACTCATTGACAAATTATTTTACAGAATTCTACCAGAACTACCTGCATCCAGAGAGGTTGAACCACTGTTGGATGTCGATGGAAGTGCTCGTAATTTTTACCTTTATATTACCAAAGGAGTGCCTGTGCTTAATGTTGGAGACCTACGTAAATTTCTCCCCTGTACAGTGAACCTGGATCCGATGTTGAGGAGAATGATATCAGGTAGGAAATAGTGTGACTAGGTGTGTTTTAAGTGTGTTTTGTACCACTGTTGTGTCTGATTTTCTTAAGGCTTTACAGCAGCTACTAATTTTGTTTGTCCCCAACTTAGATATCATTCCCCTCCTTCAAACATGAACAATATTTTGAACTGCATAATAGGTTAGGATTGGGAGAATGGTTGATAGAAATGTGGAAGGAAGTGGGTTAGAACGGGCGAAAAGTCAAATGCACATTTTCATGAGTCACTAGTGAAGTTGTTTGCACTTGAAAGATAGT